TTTTGGTGGATTTCCGGGAATTAACGGTTTTTTGACAAACGGACGGTTGGTTTGGAGTTGTTTTACCAAACCTTTTAATTTTTTATTAAAGGTTAGGGTTAAAATTAAAATTTAAAAATTTTAAAAAAAATTTCCCTTTTTTTTTTTTTTTTTTTTTTTGTGATATAGCATATGAAAACGTGGCAACCAGATAAATAGATTCTTGGAGAAATATAACTTTTTATAAAAACTTAAAGATTCTTTTACAAGTCATGATATTATGGACGCCCTCTATCATATGATGAGAAGGAGGAGGAGGAGATGGATCCGTATTTATAATTGGACTTTCAGGTGGACAAACGGATTGAGACATGTTTGGATCATATTCCACCATTTGGGGACAATTTACGGCAATAGATGGAATGGTGAAGGTTGATTGCTGTAAAATGTTCAATTCGATCAAGGGTGTGTATGTATGATTTTGTACTTGCTCATAATCTTTAGCAGTTTTATTTGAAAAATTGTACCGAGCTGAATTGCTTCGTTCGGGTTTGTATTTGTAATCGGGATACTTGGCATCATGTAATCTTTTAATTTCGTCAGAGAATGAATGGTATATATCTTTTTCGTCGTCATTAGCACCACCCCACATAAAGCCGGCCAATTTACTAAATGTTATTCCATCGCCTACAGAGATACACATATCTTTCGCCACCAAACCGAGCACGGTTCTGAAGGTAAAAAAGGCATTGGGCGGTCTTGCTGGCTTTGGTAGATTTTTCGAATAAAATTTCTGGAATAGAAATTCACCTGTGTACTTTGGGGAATAAAACAATTTATCCCTATCAAATTGAATGATAAGCTTATATTCATCATCGTTTGGATATTTTTTATCCTTGGAACAAAGTTTGTTGTTGTACCATTGGTGCCCGAAAGATACATGTCCACTCATTTTTTATTTAATTTTTAAGGGATTTTTTTTAAAAAAAAGAAATGGGGAATTGATGTTTTAAGAATGATTTATATTTCAATTTTTGTTAGTGTTTGGAAGTACAAAGTACTGGGTACGTAAACATACACTCGAATTTATCACACTATAACATTAGTAATCAAGCAATGTAAATTGAATAACAGTATACTTTATCAACTAATCTATGCAACAGTTTAGCCATTGTGTTCATATATTCACGTTTGTATATGTTTTAATATAATTACAGCAAGTAAGTTAAAATGTAAATATTCGGGGACCAATGATTACTTAAATACGTTTAAAAATATTCAATAAATAAAATGGTTAAAAGTAACAATATATTATTTCATCTTTAAGATTAGTGCCACCATAAATATTCAACAGTGGAATTCTATCGTATTTTGGAAAACTAGAGTTTTTCGCTGCATTTTTTACAAAGATCAACAGTGTTTATGATTATTAGCTTTTATAAATTGTAATATGTAACATTTAGTTTTGTATGTATTTGATTTTTTTTAATTTATATTGTAAAAAAAATAATATAGAAAAATTTCCGCCAGCAAAATAAATTAAAGTTTTTGATATTTGGTGATTCAATTTTTTTCGCGCGTCTGTGTTCTCGATCTACATGATCTACCGTATACCGCTGCATATAGTACCATGCGTGACAAATAATTTAGATCAATTTTTTAAAATATTATTTATACGACTATGTGATATAAAATACGTGTGATTTTTAATTTTTCACTATTTAAAAAATCGTGTCACACCGGGTACCATATGCAGTGCTATACGGTACATTCCTTATATGCGAGGTTTTCTTCCGATAGAGATATAAATTTAGCAATTTGTTAATAAAATACATAGTGAATAAACAAACTAAGTAAAAATTAACGTTTAACAAAAAGCATGGAATGCATGATCGTGTAATGATTGCATTTAACATAATCTTTAATAATTGCAAATACTGATTGTACACTAGTGTATATATTATAAGTGGAAATGGAATTTAAGTGGATTTGAAATTTCCCATTTAAATTAGGGTTAGGGTTAGGGTTAGGGTTAGGGTGTACATACGATAAAATCAACCCCAAAATGCCGGTTTTATATAAAAATTCCGAATCCACTTAAATTCCGTTTTACTTACAACATATATACAGGGATATCGCTATTTCGACTATGAAAATCTGAGGTTCTAACAAAAAAAGTTCCTTGCAAAATTTTAGCATATTAAAAATAATCATGCCCTAATGTTAAACGGGATTAATTTTTGTTTACAAAAATAGTTGTAAATCATCTAATTTACCCATGTGTATATGTTGTAAGTGGGAATAGAATTTAAGTGGATTTGGAATTTCCTAGTTAAATTAGGATTAGGGTTAGGGTGTACATATGATAAATCAACCCAAAACGGGGGTTTTATATATAAATCCCGAATCCACTTAAATTCCGTTTCCACTTACAACATATACATACATAGTGTCCAAATAGTTTTTTCCTTAACAATTCATCACTTTAAAAACTTACTATTTGACATGTGAAAATTAATAGGCTAAAACATGATTGCACCATGAATATTATGACAAACGAAGACAAAAAAAAACGCCGAGACAATAAATTAATAAACATTCTTTAAATTTTATAAATTCTGGTAAACTGATTTTTTTAGGAGTTTTTTTGGTCTTTTGTTTATATTATTCTTCATGAAAATAGTATTTATTTTTCATGAAAATAGTATTTAGTTTATTATTATTAAATACCTTTTGATATGCACTAAATATGTCTACTTTTCAACTAATCTTGCAAGCATTCAACAGAAGTGAAATATGTTTTGTTTAGCGCCAGATTCTAAGATCCTACTGGATTTATCCATAAACTGAATTTAAAAATGCACATATGTGCAATTTATACTTTAGAAGATTTAGCACGAAAATAGAAATCCAATTCTAGAATTTTTATGCCTATATTTGGGCGTGGCACTTTGCTACAGAAAATTGACAAATTTGTTTGAATATGAATATGGAATGCAGTTTTATAATATTATCGCCGATTGGAAAATTAACACGCATTTATCCGCGTAATACATTGATAAAACTACGTCTATCCATCAATCTCTGCAAGACTATTTTGCTCTTTGTTCACCAGATCGTGGCATTGTTAGTTAATAATGACTAAATTAAGTAATTAATACATTAATAGTTACGGAACTAAAAAAAATAATAGTATATCCTAAAAAGGGATAGTCTAAATCCTTAGCATTTAATATACATTAATAAATATTTATCATTTAATATTTATCACGTGATTCCTCGTAACAAATCAATTTTAGACGATATCCTAAAAAGGCTAATGCTGATCAACATGATTGACATCACGATTTTCAATACAATTACACAATGACGTACTATGTGATACACGATTAAAATGTCACATGACCACTTTACGATGACTTAACTACTAATGCTGAATATGTAATAGCATATTGCAAATATGCTAACGAATTTTTGAAATAATTTACATAGATGCATATCACCAAATGTCTGTTTATGATTTCAGTATCGCCGTCAAAAGTTACTGTCACGTGATAGTGCATGGCATTTATTTTAGATAGGGTTAGGCCAGATTTGGGGGACGTCTAAAGCGGAGGCAACTTATATTTAATAATTTTTTCGATTAATTTAGGGTTAGGGTCTTCTA